AATATGCGTTTTGTACTGCTGTTACACAGCACAAAACGCATAAAAATTACCAAAATTTTGATGGCGCTGAATGAAGCCTTTTTCGCTACTTAGCGCAAAGGAGGCCTATTCCACATCATTTTTTGCCGCACTAACAAAAATGTTCTTAAAGACCTGAAGTTCTCCTATTTCCATTCTCTCTTCCGAGAATTCTGTCTTTTTGTTCACTTCTCACTGGTCGTTGTTTCGGACAAAAATTATGTGGCTGTAGTACTTGCCAAAAATTAACTCATTGGTGAGGGTTTTCTTTTATTATTTATTACCGACAGGAAGACGATATGCGCATAATGTCTGAGGCCGTAGAGTCAACAGGGAGCGGGCTGATCAATCAACAAAACGATACAGCCACACAGCCACGAAACTTCATTGAAAGGCAGATGAAGAAGCATTCACGATAAACATTGTATTGCTGAACAGAGAGTTACGTACAACAACAGCAAAACATAATGATAAAATACAATTAATAAGGTAAAATTAGTGAAACAAAATGGGTAAAATACACAGGTCCGCTAGAAAAACACCTATATCTCAATGCTATCGGGAAATAACTAAAACAACTGCTGTTGCTGCATAAAGAAAGATTTACATGAAATTCACAAGTAAATTCATTTTAACTACTCAAAGAACCGTTTTCGTATGAAATTACGATCTTTTATGCTTAGTTCAGCGTATGAATGAACAAGTGCAAGCCTGAATAAACAGACGACTGTCAAATTATTTCGAAAATCCATTCTGCAGAAAAGAAAAATATGCTAATTCGAGTATTTTTGCATTTTCAGAGATAAGCTAAGAGTAATAACACATCGTCCAAAAAACATTTTTTTAGCAAAACCAAGAAAAGTAAAAACAATAAAATGCGGGCTGCTGACGTAGCAAACGATAACGTTCAGCCGACGCACAAGCATGCCAGCGGTTCAAATTAATGTTTTATAATGCCCGCCGCTGCTTCGTTGGGACGAAAGACACGATGAGAGGCAGTCGTCTAGAGACATGGTGAAAGGTAGTCGTCAAATCCGCTGAAATGTTGCCAAGACGACCATACATTTGTGCTAAACGAACGAAATCAAATGACAAATGCATGCAAAAAACGACTGGGAAGGATAAAATCACGCGAAAGATACGCGCAGACGAGATTAGCAGTGGATAAAACGAGGAAACAAATTCAATTGGAAAAAAAACGGTGCCAAAAATGAACAAAAATGTCACTTTTGCATCGCATTTGGAAAGCATGCCAGTGATCAAAGCTCAGACACTTCGTGGCGTTTCAGGAGGCCGAAAACGTGGCGGTGGAGGTGGCGGATAAGGCGTATATTCTGGTGGATGAACTGGTGCGGCTCCATCGTTTATTGGCTGAGAAATTGACGATGATGTGACTGCCTGAAAATTAAGTCCTAAACAATCCACTACTTTCAAAATTTAAAATTCAGAGAGATATTTCCTCCTGATAAGCCATTCCTTTGAATTGGGATTTTATATAAAATTTACTTGTCCTATGACTCCGTTCATTTTTTCAATAGAATCTTAATGCTGGAATACATTAGCTTTTCA